AAAAGTTTTTTTTTAATCTGAGAAGGATTTCCTTTCTTACCTTAGTAAAGGTGCTTCCAAAGACTCTTCATTGAGGTGGTTTTCTTTTAACCTTTGGAACATGGCAGGGTTATCACCTAGAATTACATTCTTATGCTCCCTTAATTATGTATATCTTTTCCTTAACAAACCTTAAAAAAAGATTTCAGATGTTACAAGTCTAATTAAAGAGACAGACAAAGCACAGTTTATACTGTAGATTTTTTCTGCAGTTCAATTAATCAGCATGTTTTCTCTTTTAATTAAAACCATTTTAGTAAATTAAAGCCCACAGCAAAACACATATATAATTTGTTTGTAATTAGCTCTTAATTGGTGGTAGTTGAAGCTTAGCACCCTTGGTTTCTTTCTTCATGATTGCCATTTTATTAGCAGCCAGTCATTAATTAATCTTTTTTTCTAATTAGCTTATAAAACTGTTGATGGCACATTATTGTAAATGTGATTTTAAGTTCAAAGCTTGTTAATAAGCTTTCTTACTTAGAAGAACAGAGATAAAGAAATTGCTGAAAACAGTACTACAGTTCTTTTTTTAAAACTGCCTTTGTTATAAGGGGGCTCTGTAAAGCATCTAACAGCTTATGGTTAATTTTTTAATGCTGTGTTTTCTCATGAATGGAGGAAGTTACTTGCATTTAAATGTTTAAGTCTAGCAAAGAGCTTAATATTAGAACAGTTTTCTGTCCTTGCTCCATTACTGTGTCATCCAAATATAATTTGATGTTGTAATACACAGCATAAAAATACAACAAAGGTATTACAAAGTATTTTACAGGGGAAGTTGAGCACATCATTGAAAGGGGACAATTTTCACTGCAAAATCCACTCGGTATTCTTGTTTGCTTTATATATTTTATATACGTCAGCAATGGATAACATTCCATAACATAAAAGGAGAAAATCATTGCTAGAGGCAAGCCTGAAATAACTAGATTCATATTTGATGAGAAACTGTAACACTATATTAAAAGGCTGTTTGGCTTCTCTGCTATGATCATAGGATATTTCTGGACCTGTTTGAATATAGATGTTTTGTTGGAGCTTTTGTGGGTTTAATATTTTGTATTTCGTGCCTCAATATTTCTGGGGCAGTTCTTGATTCTGTTGTCTCAGTAATTGCATTATTCAGTGGTTACATTTTACAGTCCTATCTTAAAGACAAGGCTTTGTTTTGTGATATTTAATGTTAAGTGTCCTGATTTGCAAGGAAGTTTTCTGGAAGTTACAGTAGATTTCTGTTGCAACTTAATAAAAATGTTTACTCTTCTTCCTGAACTTTACATTCTATTTCAACTCCAGCCATTTCTTTGCTTGTTTTAAAAGTGTTTTATGATGCTGTGCAAGAAACACTAGAAAGGGATAGCTGACAAGGAAAAAATTAAAAATTGGATAAAAAGTAAATGAATAATGTCATATTACTAAAAAGATGAGAGGCTAATTTGTGCCGACTTTTTGCTAATTTTGTTCAAGCCTCAAAATGAGGAGCTGTCACCCGTTCTGTGTAGCACTGATGACAGTGCCAATGATCCATGAAATAAGCTGCCGCTGGCTTTGTTCTGATAAGAATGAACAAATCTGCACAATGTACGGCTCCCAGAATCTCATTTTCATACTTGCATGCAGGCTAAAAGAAATAAGCTGTTTGCAGGCTTGATTAATCAGACATTTGAGGGTTTTTTGTCTCTTTGATCTCTTTCGTCTCCTAGGTAACTTGCTTGACATTAATGTTGAGCTTGAGTAAAGACAATCAGGAATTGTAGACCAAACTGATATAAAAATTAAAGACCTTAACACTTTAAGTACTCCAGTAATGGTTCCGCTTTACTTCAGAAAACATCTGTTTTCATTTAATTAAAGAACAAAAGAGAATGGCATAAATATTTTTCATAGAGACCTGTTATTCCATAAAAAGTTAAAGTATGATAATTGGTATTTTAAAAAAAATGCCTTGAAAGTGTTCAAAAAGAAGCAAAGCTTCAGATATTTGTTACGAGGTAACAGTTTCAGATGAGTAGGACATTTTCATTTATGCTACATTAAACATCTAGAGTAAGATATTTGACATGATTATTGGTCAACTTCAAAATGGCAAGGGCTTTGCCCTGTCAAAACTAAGTTGTTTTTTAAGTTAGTCTCAAAATACACATATATAGTGTTACAGGGATGAACCATTATATCAGCTTTACTACCCAGTATGATTTACACACTTTAAACCTGTAAAATTGAAAGGAATTTAAAAAAAAAAAATGTCGCAGTGCGTTTGCTTGAGGTTATGCAGACGCTTTTACAAATCTTCCAAGTGGCTGTAAAGATGAATGCCTCAAGGGTCTAGCCAGGGCCCTGCTTTTCCAACCAGCTAAAGCCCTTATCTTAAATCCAAGCAAAGTACCATTAATCTTTTTGAAAGACCTTTTATGGCTTTTAATATATCCCAAATTAGAACATTTTACACCCTTGGTTCCTGAAATATGGTGATAAAAAGCCTTTAGAGCTTAATTTTCCTTACTGCGTGCTCTGACCAATTTGCAGTTCTTTGTGATAATGTTTAGACACCTTAATTAAAATGCAGCAAAATATTGGATGTTCTATATGGAAAATGCTGATACTTTGACTACACAAGAAATTGTTGTATATATTTTTATTCATGCTTTCTTACTTCTTTTAAGATTGTATTTTACTGAGTTATCTGATGACCTGAAATGTTAGTGTGGGTTGTTTTTTTTTTTTTTAATGTAAAATCCATTGACCAAGCTTTTATGGATTTCTTCTGTGGGGGGAGCAGGGAGTGAAGAAATATGTCTGGGTTTGGGTGGGAGCAGAAGACATTTAATCTGAATAAAATGTTTCTGTGTTTTTATATGCAACGTTTGTTTTCATGTTGTGAAAATTTGACTCTGTAGCCTAAAAATTATAACAATGCTACAGAATGTTTCTGCTTTTGCTTCCACATACACTGCAGAGGATCTTATTATCCCATTTTTTTCCGTACTTTTCAAAGATGGAAGAACTCATTCTTGTCTTCCAAAAATGCAGATAAAAAGAATTTTCTGCAACACTCTGTTAGAGCTCACTTGTGTATATTTGTACGTGTACAAGTGCTCAATAGGCAACTAGAATACATTTTAAGGAGATTCTGTTATTAATCAAACACTAAAAGTTAATTTTCAAGTGTGTTAGTAGGTAAAATACCTCTAATAAAGGTATGGTTCTGCTGACTGACTTCAGCCATCAGATTACTCTATTGTTTAAACTAATAATTACTCCTGTTTCAATTTAAAAGTAAACATTTTTTGAATATTTTAGGTGAATTTTCTTAAGCCTTTTTATACTGTGATTATATTAAGGTTAATAGCTGCCCTTAACTATTAAGTGACAATGCAATTAAAAGAATGTTATGTTTTAGTCTTTGACCTGAAATGTAGCAGTTCAGATGTCAACATTGAGTTACTGTTAATAAAAAATGCTAGTGATCAGTGGAAAATTGTGTAGATAATAGAGAAAAGTTTTGTAATAACTGGTCACAGTATTTTATGCATCAAGGTGATTGCAAAGGTACATATTTATGGCTTTATAACATATGCAAATAGTGGATGAGAAACTTATTCAGCTTTTTTTTTTTCCTTTTTAAATATTATGTTTATGGAAATATCTATTTTCCTTTTAAACTGTTATGCTCAGCTCCTAACTGCTTGTGTTGCCAGTGTTTAGAGCCTCAAACAAAGCACAAGCTGATGTGCTTGCTGCCTTTCCTTAAAGGCTGCTGCAGAAAGGCTGCTTTCTTCATTCTTGAGCCCTGAGAGGACCATAAGGTAGAAGAGCTTGTAGTGATGCTGGTTAGGGTTGTTTTGTTTTTAGCTTTGTTAACAAAATGATGACCTACCTATTGTGTGTTTGATGGGATAGTTGTGGAAAATGTCAGTGCAGATGTGTTCTTGAGTGCTCTCTCATCTTACCTGGATAAAGCATTTCTCAGAGTAAATATTTGTCTGCATAGATGCTGCAGATTATTCAAGTATATTACCATTAATAGTGGAACTTCAGCCAGGGTGTTAAAGAATATTCTTCTTGGGTCTCCAGTTCCTTGGTGCTCCACATCAGTTTGTAGCAATTTGGGGTAAATGAATTGCATGCTTGTCTTGGAGAATGGCAGTAACTTCTGAGAATGAATTCCTTCATAACTCATAATGTCAAGTCAAGGCAGCAACCACAAAATATAGCTACAAGTTACAAATGCTGATTAAGGGAAATAAACTGTTCATAGTTCACTGTATCTTCCATCTTTTTTACTTTACTTTTCCCTGCCTTTCCCTCCTGTGCTTGACATTCACTAAAGTGAACTTAATTCTTACAGTTTGCGTCTTACAGTTTATGGAAATGCTATTCACCTACATGGAAAGCTGGCATATCATACCCTTACATCTAAAAGATTGTAATGTGGAGATAGATACTAAGGACACTGCATAATTTATTTTTTGACAGACTGATTAAAACATGTCTAGTGGTTCTGCTAAAAAATGTGTGGTGGTAGCAGCTCTTCCTGTATAAAAATGTCTTTTTGGATGTTTTTGACACTGGTAAGGTCTGATTCTATTGTTTTAGCATAGCTGAAGTCACAGACTGGTCCTAATAATGGAGACTGTGTATTTGGATATGTCTGTCTATGTAAAACAAACAAACAGAAGGATCCAGTGAGCTGTTGCCCTTTGCTTTTGTTTTTGAAAATGAAGGATTTGGTGAAAAGGACTCCTTTGCCCCAGGATCCTACATGCCTTTGTATTTCCCTCAAGAGACATTCTTGTTTGTCCAGTCTAATAGTGCATCATCAGCCTAATATTTAAAAGATATTTTAGTATCTATTGACTTTGGAAAAACAATATCAGACTAAGTAATTTGTGAGGTTTAAATTTCATATGAACCATTTGCATCTAATCAGTTTTCCTTTGTTCCTTTTCATGTCTTAGCTTGGTGTGAAAATTGCCAAAGCTGCCGCTTGCCGCAACTTTGTAAAAGCCAAGCAAGAAGCAGAGGCTGCCCAAGAAGCTCAAAAGAAAAGGAAGCTTGCTTGGGGGTAAGTCATTTGAGTATGGAATTAAACATTTGTGGTTTCATTGGCACTAAGTGTGTACAATACACTCTCAGTTAAATGTTTTCTTAGTTGAAATAGGCTTGTGCTAATCTTATTTGTTTAGTTTAACATTGTTGGCTTTTGGTGAGCTTTTTTAGGAGTGTATCAGACTTAAGTACAGAGGCTTTATCAGAAATAAAGTGATGGTTGTATCACTATATTTGTCTTCATGTCTTTATTACAGTATTAAAAATAAGTTTTTATTTTTGTTGTTGTTAAGAATAACGTGGTTAAATAACTGAAACACATACACTCATCATTGCTAATGTGGATTTTGTGCTCTGTTTCAGATTTGAAGCCAAGAAAAGATGGGAAACAAAAAGCAACATGGGATACATGTAATCCATCCTGTTTTACTCAGAAGTCAAATACCTGTTGTTACTTGAAGAATTTTTGTGTGCAGCTTATTAAAGCTAAACATAAACCCCCCCAAAACAAAACACAACACGTCAAATGCCTTGTATTTATCTTAATGTTTTCAAACTGCACTATCTTGTTTTGGCACTCTCCTATAAATAATACAGCAAAAATATTATCTAAGCATCAATAATGTGTTAAATTTTCCTTCTAGATGTGAAACCTAAAGGTAATGCATTTTAGGATGAATTTGGAGTCTGGTAGAGAACACTCTGAAGTTGAAATAAAATCCTTGGTCCAAATGTGTTTTGTGCTGTACTGCAATTATGTGTGGGTATAAGGAGAGGGGTATGTTTCTTCTGGGGCTGCACAGACTAATGCAGTAAGTACTTCTTTTCTGCTTGAAAGGTGGGGGAAGACACTAAATAAGGAAGAGCAAACCCAACCTATCTTTTTTAAACCAAGGGCATTTATAGCCTTAGTAAATATAAACTATTGTTAAAAAAAGCTTAAAAAAAGTCCATCCTCCCTCTCCTGGAAGGATCTGGTACTATTGGTCATATCCTGGTGCCACATTCTTCAGAATATTTCAGATTCCCAGTTTTCTTTTCTTCCTAAGAACACAGGTTTTAAAAGTCCCAGATAAAAATATATAAATACATATCTTGGAAAAATATCTGAACTGTTACATTGTACAGTTAACTGCACCCAAGATACAAATGCAGATTTTACTCCCAAGTCAAATGTTTTACAGATCAATTAGGATTTGAATGTTTATGTTATAAGATTATAACAAGAATTGATGATAATGTTTCTTCAAAATTGTTCTCAGTGAAAAGTAATACACATTCAAAACTAATAACTTTTCTCCCCGAAGCTCTTGCATATATGTTTAGTCACCACAATGGCTGAATTGAATTGGTAATGTAAATGTCAGTTATTGTTAACCAAGATTAATATGTTTCAGGCCAAAGGTATGGTATTAGTGTAATGGTGATTTACTGTGTAAGTACTTGGGGCTAAAACAACTTGCCAACAAATAGCAATTTGAAGTTTTATGGCAGCAATTCGAAGAGTTCAGGTTTGTTGTCCAAGATGGAATAGTGCATTTTTGTTCAGTAGCCCTCAGGATATTTAGTTCTTTTTTTTAACATCATATTTCTTTCACACAGATGAGAGTTTGCAATATGGTAATCTGCAGTTAGCTGTAATTAGTTATGATGACAGAGTTAAATACAATTGCCAGGATTGTAAACTGGGGCCTAAACAGGTTTCTGCAGCATAACATCATAAATCTCACACTATGGTTTACAAACTACATTGCTTTGCAAACTTTGGTGTGGAAGGAAGCAAGTGCTATCTCTAACGAAGTGTAAATGTGTAATGAAAGTAAATTGCATGTTTGCATGTGTAAACACACTGGTTTACACCATGACCCTACATCAGGATCTTTCTCAGTTCCAAATGTTCCTGTCCAGAAGTTACAGGCCCTCTGTCCATAATTTCTGGGTTTTTTTAAGCATCTGGAAGATGGGTGTTAGATTCAGTTAATCTTTGTTATATACTGAAAAGCAGAATGATGTTGATAATTAATGCCAAACACACCAGCAGCATTCCATTCAGCTTTTAAAAGTATCATTTATTAAATAAGCTATTTTCTTTTTTGCAGTAATTTCTCTTAAGAGTAACAATATTTGTCAAATCAAGATCTTCATCTAATTGCAAGAATCAGTGTTCTTTGTTTGAAAAAGTGCTTTAACAGAAAGCTAAGCCCTCAAAAAGGAGCAATTGCCCAGCTACCTGTAATATTTTACACTAAATTAATTAGTTTTATGTTAGACCATTAATGGTGGAACTGTTTAGGAAGTATGCAGAATATTTGCATCAGGTCACTTGTGTGATGAATTTAAAAATGACCACATTTCTTTTTATCCAGCTAAAGTGTTTGCTTAAAATATTAATTGATTTCCAGTATTGTACCATGTTCAAAAATCTCTAACGGGGAAAATGCAAAAGCCTATTACAGCTTTATAGTGTTCATATAAATACATAAGAAATAATTAATGGAGAACTGTACCTTTAATATCATCTCCCTGAATTGCTGATCTGTTTTTAAATTTCTTGCATTGTGCTGACAGCTTTTTTTTTTGGTAGTTTTGGTGTGTGATGTAAATTTTGGCCAAACAAGTAAAACTGCATTCTGAGACTTAATGTTTCCTGTTTAACAGTGTCAAACCTATCCAAATGCTTGTTTTACTTTACTAAAAGCTTTTTAATCAGCTTAAATATATAACATCTTACACTGAACTAAATTTGAGATATAATTCTTTTAGCAGATGAAAAGTTGGCAATATCTCCTTGTTTGACTGAAATTACTGATCTAGAGGAATGTACTTAAATTATAAATACCAGTACAAGTCTGTTGTGAAGCCACATATTTATTTAGAAGTTCATTTGATGCTGTCTTGAGTTGGGCAGCTGTTTAAGGACTTGCTGAAGTGCTTCTGTCCTCTCAGAAGTCCTGAAAAACTTAAATGCATGCACTGATTTTGCTCCAGTTTTTTTTCTGCACTATAATTTAATATTTCATCCAGCATCTATCATGGTACTCTCCTGGATATCCTGAGTAGCCTTAAGTCTTTTGAAGAAAAGTTGTGTAGCTTCCCAAGTGTGTCTCTGGAGTAAACCATGAAGCTGCCTGGGATGTAGAACGTGCTCTCACAATTTCTGTTCTTGTTTGAGCAAGGCTGTCTCTGGAGCATCCTGGCCTGCTCCAGCCTTGCTCTGTTCTGGGCCAAGCTTTTTCAGTCTGGCCTCTTGGCTGGGTTAATCACTCAGGTGCTGTGCCAGGGTGAGGGGTTTGCTTTGGGGTTTTCAGCAGCCCTAACAATGTCAGGTTGGATGGCTCTGCACAGTTTCACTGAGCAGTGCTGATGCTCCTTGAACACTTCTCACTTGGGTGCCATGTCTTCATTTCTGCTCCCATCTCATGTTCTTGCAATTCTATTGAGTTTTAAGGCCTACACGAGAAATTCTTTTATCAGCTCCTGTGATAAAATACAGCCAGTTTGAAGTTTGACAACAGCATGCTAATACAATTACTTGTATTTCTTAATACCGCATTCCTGAGCTCCTTAACCAAAGAGTGGCTGCAGGGACAGTTTGACAGATAAAAACATATATATAGTTGTTAGAGTTTTAATAGTTTTTTTGCCTGCAACCATAATCTGTATCATTATTTTTTTAGTTTAATTCTGTTGGACAAGTTTCAAAGATAAATGTGGTGTGTAATAAGTCTTTGCAGCCTCTAATTTGTGAAGGAGTGTCTGTCCAGTTAATACTTGCTCATTGAAGCAAGGGGTTTTGAAATAGCTGAAGTACAAACTGTAATTACTGATGTCTGTTTCCTATTCACCTATGGCTTCTGGCATTTGATCAAAAACTGAAATGTATTGCTTAATCTCAAAGCATTCCCCACTTTCAAAAATATTTACCTCATGAGAATTGCACAGCACTAAATGACCTTAGCAAAACCAGAGTAGATTTTTATTTGGCATTGATCATATGTAGCTAATCCACCAACAAGTATTTTTCTTGTTATTTTTGAATGTTGGTAATTTAGGTACAGATGTGCTCATAGTGTACCTTTAATGCAAGCTCAAAGCATCTTTAAAAGTATTAAATATATTAATAATAGGGTGGGATTTTTACTTCACAAATGGGGTTACTAAAAAGAGGAGTACAAAGGTTGAGCAGTTTATGTGAGGGCAAACTCCTGGCTGGCAGCAAAGTGGCGAGTGGAAGGAATGTCCTGGTTTGCTGTTTTGTCAAAGCTGAGAATAACAGAGAGAAACCAGTCTTGAACAATTTTGTGGCAGGTGCCTGAACCTCTTTGAAAGTCATTGGGAATTGGGCACCTCATTACCATCTGTCCCACAGAGTAAAAGAACTGCGATATTGAATGCAGATGTTCTGAGCATCACAAGAGTAAGTAAAACCCCAAATTTCATTTGAGAAAAGTTGTCATTTTTCTTGTTGAAAAATGTCTGCATTGCTTTGATCTGTCTCCAGCTGTGTTTATTTTATCATCAAATCTTGTCTTCCCAGTTTCTGTGGGATTGTAACAGAGCTGAGTTTCAATTTCTTTACTTGTAATAAATAGGACCTGGAATAAAACATTTTGCCCTGAAAAAGCATAGGAGTTAAATAGACATGAGAAATGCAAACAGCCAGCATTATAAAAGGAGTCCTACCTATTTTACATGTGATTGTGCTTGTCATGTTCATTCTCTGATATTGAATCATCATCCTGACTTAAATAGTATGTTCATTTATCTTGGAGTTTCCCAGGTGTTCTGGCTGCCTGACTCACAGATGGAAGTGACTTCAGGCTGGCATGAAGTGACCACAGGTTGAAATGAGCTTTTGTATTTCCATGTTATGTGTCTTGGTGGGTCAGCCTTTGGCAGCTTTTGCTGAGGAAAACAGATGAGATAAAAGAGAAAAGATAGGTACAGAAATAAGAGTTTTTACCCAAATGAGAACGGACTGCTTTCTGGTAGCGAAAGAGGGAATTTTGTTCATCCTTTTTTCACAGCCTTTCTGAAGTGAACCATACATTCATGTAGCCCAAACTGCAAGTTCAGGTATCAAGCAAAGTGTAAAGGTGTCTGTGGAGTCTCTAGATAGTGTTTATGGTATTTTAAGGATTTCTCTGTGAAGAAATGGTTGCTGACTTTGTCAGATCTTTAATGCTGAAATGCCAGTTGGCCTCTGCTGGTACAGACCAGTATTAATTCCAAGCTAGTAGTGCCCTGAATTTATCACTACTGCTCAAAGATAGAAAAATAATCTGCATCTTCTCTGATTACTCTGATTCTGTCCAATCATCTGCACCTGTGATGAAAAAGAATCATTGCATTCTTTTGTGAATTGAAAAGATTCCCAGCATTACCAAGGATCACTGAGATTGTTTTAACATTGATTCCTCTTCCGTGGAACATACAAAAATACGTTTTCCACAATTTTATTTGAAGTATGTCACCACCTCCTCAAAATTCACTCTGTAATAGCACAGGATTGTAAGAAAGCTCTGAGTAAAACTAGGTGTAATGTGCTGGTATAAAGTGTAAACACACAAAGAACATCAGAAAGTTGACGTATCTCATGATTCAGCTTCTAATTACCATCAAACAATGTAGGATGGAGCTTTTATTTTTTGCAAGTTAAGAGAATGTTGAGAGCAGCCTGCTAGAAAGAGCTGTCCTCTCTGTTATCTGCTGGAGGAGTACACAAGCAGCGA